GTTTTCCATTAGCAGATGAGCAGATAAGTTAATGTGAAAGAACCTGTCATATGAACAGTTCTGAATTGACATACCAAGTCTGCATTAGAAGATAATAAGTTAACATTGGAGGAATTTGGCATATAAATAGTTTCTATTCGCATATGTACATGAACATGCCTTGGTCAATCCACTGCTGGATGAAGGCCTCCCCACGCTGGCAGTTATTGGTGGCAGTTGTTGTGAAATTTCGGTCACAGTTCCTATGATCACTGTTACATTGCTTATGGCTTTATTTTGGTGATTTCAAAAAGTTTTTAGGTTTGGCCATTTTTGTTTGTTGTAGTACGGAGTTAGAATGATGGCTTTAATCTAAGTTGTCTTGTGGTTGTTGTTTGACTTGCATCCCACTGGGATTTTTGCACACAGCGTTGGTGTACGGTGCTTTTTTCTGGAAGACTTTGCAGTTTTGTACTGGATTTTTCTGTTTGCGCATAGTCACTTTAAGATGTTTTCTTGTTCATGTTTTAGTTTTTTGTTTGTTGCGGTTGCACCCGATTCAAGAGCCGAATGGGTCACAGGGCTATACCTAATAAATTAAACTGAAGTTATGACCATACCTCACCACACTGGTTAGTGCGGGTTGGTGAAAGTGTAGAGCATAAATGTGGGAGAATACGAGTACACACAACAATTGCAGCCCGACTGCAGCCTACAACACTTGGTTCATGAGAGGTGGTCGCTCATCCAAGCGCTATACAGGGCCAAAGCCTGCTTAGCTTCCAAGATCTGAGGAGGTATTTCGTAACAGACCATGTACGTATATTTTCAGCATATCTCGAGTAAAAAATCTGATGAATTGCCGCACGGGAACACATTCAAATGAATGTGGGTCGCTAAAAAGGAAAACATGTCAAAAGGTAATTGGCAATCCCGACTTCACTGTTATAAATAAATGTAATTGGCACTTGTTAATTATTACAAATTACCGCAATTTTCAAGGCCCCAGAACTGTTCAATGAAGTGTCAAAGTCAAAAAAATTGTTGTGAACTCATTGCTGTTAGCTTGTTAAATAAAATATATGAGGGTGGAAAAAAGGAACACACACCACATATAGGCATGATCAATTGCAATGTTTTTTCTTTTGAGCTGTGCATGGAAAATAAAGCAATAACCAGGACCGTTCGTGGATGAAAACCAATAAACATCTCGTGCAAATGTGTGCTAATAGAGACTATAATGACAAGATGAGTATGACTGATGTAAATTATTTAAGCAGGCCAAAGTCCATTGAGATTCATGACATGCTGCAAAAAGACCCAGGAATCCATAGTTGGGTGTAGTTCTGCGATTTAACTTAGCGTGTTAGTGTTCTAATTTGCTACCTAGATTTTCACGAGAATACAACAGCCCACTCTCGCAAACGAGAGCTAAAGCAGCATTTTGGCAAACTCCATTCTCCACGTGCCACACCAAGGTACGTACTTCACCCCTTCCGTTCACATCTCCTGCAAGTATCCGACGATTGCTAAACACAGCCCTAGTGGCGGCGTAGAGAATGCCGATTCAAACAAAGACCGCGTGTGTGTAAATGTATCCATAAGAGGTTTTTTTGGGGTTAGATCGCGTAAATACCAAAGTGTCGTTAAACCCGCCACCATCCGACACAGCCAATTAAAAAAGGCTCGTCACGTAAACAGAACGTGCCAATGTTTTACGAGCACAGCACACCGCTTGTGTGTTGGAGAGTAAACCCACAAGACTTACAATTCGAGTACGACGTTTTGCCGTTAATAACAACCTACATCATCATGTGACATATTTATATTTATGCGATCTAACCCAAATAAAATCCCTCTATTATGGATATTGGTCACGAAAGGCCAACGTGTTAAACCGTGTAAATGTAAAATGTCGCATAGCCCTTTTATCAATCCACTGCTAGATAGTCTCCCCATACTCTTCAGGTGACGGGGGCTGAGCGAGCATACTTCACCACACTGGTCTGTGTGCAGGTCGGGGTCGAGGGAATGTGCTCCGAAGCTGCCGCTTCCCTCCGCGTGGAATCTTTGCACCGAATAATTTGAGTGGGTCCTTTACAATGCGACGCGCGACATGTTTAGTGTTATTTGCATTATTATTTGTAATTGATTTTTACCCCCCCTGGACACGAGCGAATTTGAGCGCTCCATCTCCGTTGATTGACTGCCTCTCTGTGCACGTTCCCTCCCTTGACCGTCACACCCCTTCATCGTCCTTGCACCACCGGCCATTATCCCTTCGACAAGTGTGTCCTGTCCAAGTCCACTTCCCTTGCCTAACAGTCAAAATGATATACAGTAACACCTTGGATTGCGAGCATAATTCGTTCCGGAAACGTGTTCGTAATCCAAAGCACTCGTATATCAGTTGTGATCACGTGACGCTCGGCAGACAAAGCGTATACACGCACTACTCGTAATGCAAGACCTCGCTTGTTTATCAAATTAATATTTATTTAAAATTTTAGCTCGTCTTGCAAAACACTCGCAGACCAAGTAACTCGCAATCCAAGGTTCTACTGTAGCATGAACCTGCCTGTGTTCCCATATCATGAAAAAAAACTGTTTAGTATTATTTGTATATTTTAAAAGTGATTTATTTACCTTTGCTCACCTATCGTGCTTTTTTGTGTTGTTTGTTGTTGTGCCGTTTTGAAAAAAAGAGCTTTACAGCGCATCGGATTCCTTCGGTATAAATACAGATTCTGATTCTGTTTGTGCACCAAATTTATTTGCACCTGAACGGCGTTAAATTGGTAACACTCTGAGCGCCGTGGTAGCATGGTGCAAACTCCACGTTATAACGGCACTACACGCTTTGGCAATTAACCACGGAAATGACTCTGGAGGTGTGGAGGAATCTCACCGTTTGCCTTTGTATAAAACCTGGCTTAGTGGTCAACACGGACCATGGGGCTGTGCTGCATCTCACAGAAACACTCAAGACTAATAAACACAAACTTATGAGAATGGAATCCTGATTATTCTCATGAGCACTTTCAATCTTTTTGCGCGAGTTCAGTGCAGCCAAGGAGTTGATTAAGGAGTTTGTTGTGGATATAAATAGGGTATCTGCAATGTAACCCTAATGAAAGCTACAATTTCCCCCCCTTTTTAATTTCACAACTTTTGCATTCGAAAATGTATAAAGGCAAATTAATATTCACTTTTGAGATGTAATTTCTTACATTCAAACTTCACGTGTTTTTTCTAAACGACAGCATTTAGCCTTTGATTGATTACACTGGAGGATAACGATAATATTTAACCTCGTGTAATTAAACAAAAGTATAACGAGACTATGATGGAACGAAGGCTGATCAATAAGTATCCATCAGCCGCATGTCCAAATGCCTCGAGGAACTAAAACATATACCAACTTTGGGCCTCGACATCAGCTTCCTGAAGAACTGAGGTCCACAATAATCTCCACCCGTCTTGGCAAAGTACCAAATCGTCGGTAATGGAGAAGTCCACGTTGTCGTGAAGATAAAAAAAAATCGGGCAGAAAATGTTCACTCACCAACGAGCGACATGGGCAGAGAATTCGTCGCAACTTTCAACATCCACCACGCATGAGTTATGCTACAACTATTTGACTTTGGAAAGATGTTTGCCATTTTTGCTTATAACTCGAGAATAAAACATTGTACATGGATGAGCAATGCAATAAAAATTCAACAATGAAAGTATCTTCGCAAAAAAAAAATTTTTGTTTCTTATTGAGAGGGGGTGACCTTTCATACTTCCCTTCCCATAAAATCTAAAATAATTGTCTCTTTATTTATTATTTATTTTCTTTACTACTTACCTTTCTTATGCTATTCTTTGCGCACGGTTGAACTTTATTTTGCGCGCGGTCGTAATTTACTTTGCGCAGTCGGTGTTAGCCGCTGAGGTCGTGACGGGGTTTCTTTAATTATTCCTGTTGCTCTATGCCCCCCCCTCCCGCACCGTCCCCGTTCCGTTGTAATGTGGCACCGATGCACGACTTTATTGAGGGCGATATTGACACGTGAAACGCAGACTGATTGATTGATCCGACGAGCAGAAAACAACTTTTAACGGAGTGATGGGCTGGTTGCGATTGCTCGTAAAAAAAAAACACCTGCCGAACCTGCCGATGATCGGCTTATTGAAAGAAAATCATCCTCCACACCATACCAGTACTGGATGTGTTGGAATTTTTTTGTTTTGTCTGTCACTTCACTCTAAACTCAACAATGTTAGGACAAAGCATAAAGCCCCCCCCCCCCCCGCCCCGTGTAGAGCGTCGCCTTCCTGTGTAGACGGAAGGTGCCACACGGAATCGAGTTACCGAATCGGTGTCGAGTTGAACCTTTGCATCATGCCAATTCCATGGCAAGAGCACCGCTAGCAGGGTTATACATCTCCCAAGGTCCCATCTCCCTGCGAAAATAAGCAATCGGGTGGCGTTCACCCCCGTTGGCGGCCGTGAGATATGGAAATTCCGCATTCCCATGTTGGACGAGAAACCTCTCTAAAGTCCCTACGATTCATGACCCAGCGTAGGGAGTCTTGCTGTGAAAAACAAGTAGCGGCGTTCCACTACGCCTCGATAAGCAGTACAGGGAGTCTCTATATGACTAACTGACCAGTACTGGGAGTATCTGTACGACTCATTAACCAGTGCAAGAAATTATGACTATGCATGCTGTGTTCTGCTATTATTCTGTAACCAGGGCAGGAAGTTCCACTACAGCTCATTAACCAGTACAGGGAGTCTCTGTATTAAATCAACCGGTGCAAGAAGTTTTTGCCATGCAGTGTTCTGCTGCGGTTATTTAACCGGTGAAATGATTCGTTTGCGAGACTCATTAACCAGTGCATAGAGTTCCCCGTCCACTACGGTTCATTGCCCAGCACAGGGCGTCTCCAGTTTGATAGGCGACGCGGTGCGGTGCTGGTTAACGTTCACCTTAACCCTCTTCTAGTTAGGGTGGGGACGGGGCACTCACCGCTGAGCAGGGGCCGGTTGAGCTTAAATAGCGGGGGAAGCTCCCCCACGTCGGCCATGCGCTGGCAGACGGCGCGTGACAGGTGCTCGCCGTGGTACAAGCTGCCCAGGATGATGCTGTCCAGGTAGATGGGATCCACGTAGTGGCTGAGCAGTGAGCCCTGGATCCCCACCACGTTCCACCTGTAAAGACGAGCCAAGGCAAAGATCCACCCCCCCCGTATAGCCTCTGACAAAACTGTTGGGGCAAGTGCTGTTAAGCGAGTAGTGCCTTTGAAGGCCGGCACAGCGCACGAGGGGGTGGGTGGCCAGCACCAAACGCGGCCGCCTTTGTCTCCCGAGTGGCGACGTTTACACATCGCATCAGGTACTCAATCGGGGCTCAGCCGACCTAGGTGAGGCCCAGGACCAGTTTAGATAATCGTTACCGGTGTTGGCCGTGAGCGTGAATCGAACTCGGGTTGCCGGGGTTCGTAGCACGGGGCGCTAACCGCTACACTGTGTGCGCACACCCGTGCACAGTGCTGCTCACATCACTGTCAATCGATCAGTTGAGACTGCCAGGTGGCTAAGCAATGACCCGCGCGGTCGGACTGTGTGGTTCAGCTCACAATGTGGCGTGCTTAATTCCCGGCATGCGTTTTTCCCAAGCGCATCGTACGACGTGAAGCCCAACCTTCGCACAGCGCGGGAGTCGGCTAACAACTCCCCCCACCCTCCCCCCCCAAAACCAACTAGCACACCCGTGTGGACACCTGCCCACTCACAAAAACAAAGATCCCCCGTGTAGCCTTAAGAGATTGTTGGGGCAAGTGCTCTTAGCAAGCACCTATGAAGGCTGGCGCGGCATACGAGGGGGTGGGTAGCCAGCACCACACCCGGCTGCATTTGTCTTCCAAGTGACGATGTTTACACACCACACCAGGTACTCATTTGAGGCCGAGTCGACCTAGGAGAAGCCCAGGAACGGTTCAGATAATCGTCTCTGGTGTTGATGGCCATGAGCAGGAATCAAACTCGGGGCCGCCGGGTTCGTAGAGCACAAAATGCTCACCGCTACACTACCGTTCCACGCACACACTGATACGCACACAGAGACACAGTCACACACTCGTACGCACACAGAGACACACAGACACACACAGAGACACAGACACACATTGGTACACACACAGAGACACACAGACACACACTGGTACACACACAGAGACATACAGACACACACTGGTACACACACAGAGACACACAGACACACACTCGTACGCACACACAGAGACACAGACACACACAGAGACACACAGACACACACTCGTACGCACACAGAGATACACAGACACACACTCGTACGCACACACACATGCAATCGTAACACTTCTCCCCATGTGTACACCCACCCAATCGCGCACACAACCACCCGCACGCACAACAATTCACGAGCCCACCGGGACACCTGCCCCCCCCACCCCGCCCCCCCCCACCCCAGGCCCGCGTGCCCTTGCCTCGCGATCTTGTCGCTGCAGGACATGGTGAGGAGGCGTTCCCCCTGCAGCACGCCGTCCCACGTCTGGATGGCGTTGCATGAGCGCACGGGGATGGTGCCCTCCCCGGACTCGATCTTCGTCCGCAGTTGTCCCCGCGCTTTCCGGTTCGGGTGCTTGTCGCCGCGTTCCACTGAGCGCACAAAGACACCACCCCACGCCCCCCCACATGGCCTGTTGGAGCAAGTCCTGTCTTACGAGCGCCAATTGTGGCTGGAGCTTCGTACGCCAGTGCAGTGTGCCCACCAAAAGATCCCCCGTGTAGCCTTAACAAACTGTTGGGGCAAGTGCTGTTAGTGGAGACCTATGAAGGCACGGCACAAGAGGGAGTGGGTGGCCGGTACCACGCCCGGCTGCCTTCGTCTCCCCAGTGACGATGTTTACACACTACACCAGGTACTCATTTGAGGCCGAGTCTACCTAGGGGAGGCCCAGGACCGGTTCAGATAATCGTCACTAGTGTTGGCGGTGAGCGGGAATTGAACTCAGTTCACCGGGTTCATTGCGCAGCACCCTAACCGCTACACCACCGCTCACCACTGGCTGGAGCTTCGCACGCGCCAGTGTGGTGTCGCCACCACTACCATCATCACACCCAGCCGCTGCTGTCTCCCCAGTGTAGACATTTACACAGCGCGTCAAGTTCACACTTTAAGACCGAATCAACCGAGCAATGACCAAGATTGGTTCACATATCGCTCTGCACCTAGATTAGCCGTGGCCAGGAATCAAACTCTGGTTGTTACGTTCGCAGCGCAGTGCTCAAAGCACTCCGCCGCCTCTCCGCTTAGGCACGCGTGCGTACGTACACATGGACGCACGTGCACACAACCACACACACGCAGGAGAACGCATGGTGGGCAAGTGGATCACACTCGGTCGCCTGTGCACTGTGGAAAAGTTTGACAAAGTGGGGCTCAATATTTATCCCATTCCTTAGCAGACCCGAGGCAGCTTATTTACTAAACACACGTACTGCATATGTTACGGGAATTTTAACACAGACCCCCTTCTAGATGTTGTGCCAAACTCAAGGAAGAAAGGCGAGATACTGCCCATTATAGCATCACCAGTGCCATGTCACGTTGGCGAATAACCCAGCAAAAATTACCATGAGCGTTGCATTTGCTGCCTTTTACACTGGCCCATTTTGCAACAAGATTGGGCGCTAGCTTTCGCTGCATGAAGAGCATTTTGCAATGTGTCCATCTCCTATAACAGGGCCACTCAATTATATTTCTGGTGGGCCACGTGACGTCAAGCGGTGTCACGTGCACAGGCGCTCTGACGTCGCGTCATAACGTCTGTACATGTGACCACTTATCTGTACCTCTTGTCTCCAGGGCTCTCATCTCGAGCTCTTGTAGATCTCAATATCATCCCACTCATCTTCATCACGCGTCTAAAGCGCTCTCATTTCCACCCATGGTTTATCTCACTTTAATCTCGCAAATATTAATCTTTTGCCTCCGGGTCTCTCATCTCTCTTTTTTTTTTCATCTCGCTTTCAAATCATTAATCTGTATTTCTCTCCGTCCGGGTGGGCCGCAATTCCGCGTGGGGCCGGATGTGACCAGCGGGTCGGCAGTTGAAGACCCTGGCGTTTCGCATACAAACGATGACCCACAGAGCTCCACTGAAGCTGGTTGTTGTAATCACCAGCGAAACGTCGTACTCGAATTGTAAATGTTGTGGGTTTACTCTCCAATACACCGGTGTGCTGCAGTAGTAACCAATTGGCATGTTTTGTTTACGTGGTAAACCTCACTAGGTGGCAGGTTTAATGACATTCATATTAACGCGATCTAACCCCAAAAAACCCACTTTATTATGCAAAATTTAATTAAAATTCCATTTAAAAATCATTTAGCGATCATTAAACTAATTTCACAAGAGGACCTGCGTTTAATCTCAGGCGGAAGTCTGGGATTTGTATCGAGCATCTCAGCGGTGCTGCGTCGATGCTGACGCAGGCAAAGGGACCGGTCCTCAGAGCCGCCCCTGCCGGCTGACTAAGCGGTTTTTAAAGGCATTCTAGAGGCAATGAGAACTGCTATTGTGTCAAGCAATTGACCTTCCACCACAGTCGGAGAGAAATTTTCTTTCGAGCACAATCTACAGAATTATTGAGTGTTTTTTTTAGTTTGTCAGACGTCACCCACGCCGATGTAATTTCATTGACCAATCGGAAATGATTTAGTGTAATGTTTGGAAAGAAAAACTCCAAACAAATCAAACGTTGCATTAAACGGCTTCCAAAAAAATGGTCTAAGCGACCTCCCTAACGCACTCACAATAAAATGGTCTTGAGTTCTCATTTTGCGTTTTCACCGAGCTAAATCAATTCAATTTCTATTGTACTTTTCGAAAGGCACAGGCCATCCAGCACCCATGAGGTTGACAGGGCGAGGAGGTCAAACGCTTCGTAATTACGGGACTTGAGTGTGCACATGTACGCACATTGTGTGAATGCAAGGGTAAACCCTGGGCCTCATGAAACAAGAGCCCATTCTTTTTGCAGAGAGAGGGAGGAAGTCATGGCTTATCTCCCATGTTTCCTGTGTCACTAATCCCCGTCTGTGTCTCCTTACCCCATGTCTACTTGGTCTCCCTTGCCTCTGCGTATCACCCCTCCACCCCACGACCTCTATCTCCTTACCTTCCATGTCATTTGTGGCGAGATGTTAACTCCCTCGTCTGGTATGCAGGAGGTTGTGGGTTTGATCCCGACCCTGCCGCCTGAAAATTTGGAGTTTGCGTGTTGTCCCTGTGGTCGCGTGGATTTTTTTTCCATATCCTCCATATTTAGAAACACGCGTCGAAGAGTATATTTGGCTGCTACAAATTTCCACGTGATAAGCCACTTCGTTGAGCTATCATTTGTGGCCAGGTCGCTTGTGAAAAATAGCTATGTAGCTCAGTGAACATTACCTGGTAAAATTAAAAGTTTATTTTAATTTAGTATTCTACGCTCAATGTCTCCACACCCTTTACGGCTTCACCACCACCCTCTGTTTCCTTTGCTAGAGTCCTCTCATTACAATCCCCGGTGCCCAATTACCCCCTGTACCCCCTCGCAACTGTGTTTCTCACACCCGTCGTCGTCTCCTTGACCCCCTGCGCTTCCGCTTACCCTCCATGCTGGCCTCGTGCGGAGAGAAGATGCGTGCGTCCCCGCACGGCGACGTGCTGATGTACAAGTGAAACTGGATGTGCGGCTTCAGCTGGTATCCGCCGCCTCCCTCCCGCTCGCAGAAAATGCAGCCGTCCTCGGCGTCGCCTTCGCTGCAAGCGACACGGGCAGCCGCGGGGCACAAAGCGCGCGCGCCGACGATGATCATCGACGAATCTACTCCCCCCCTCTCCTCTTGGCTTGCGTCCCCAAGGACAATCGACTGACCGAGAACAGAAGGACACGACAAGTGCCGCGTTTCCACGCTGACCATTTGGAAAACGCAGACGCAAGCCGTGCTGGGACATTCCAGGAGCGGCCCAGCATGGCCCCATTGTTTAAAGAGTCACCGATAGTTCTGTAGCCTCTGTGCCTGAAGGTAGCGATTTCATTATTAGTTAATTTAATTTCGAGAGGCGTAGCGCCGCTGTTTTTAAAGACATTGTACTCACCGCAGAGAACTACAGCGACACGACCACACTCGATGATAGCTAGCGGCAAACTGTTCCACACGCCCTCCCGCACTGTCTTTTACTTCCGATTCCACTCCGATGACGTACGCGAAGTTAAACCGACGACGTACACGTACATCATCGGAATGGGAAAGGGTTAACATCTCATTACATGAAGGGATCAAGCCATTTTTTGTGAGTAAAAGCAAATCATTGTTTGCACGGGTCTACCTGACCTGCCCACTGAACAATGTAGAGTGCGCCAGGGCTGCATCTTCAGATTCAGAAACGCAACACAATATCCAGCATACAAATTTCGATTTAAAGCTTTCGTGACTGCAGGGATTCATATTCTTGGTTCTTTCGGTAAAGTCACGTAGAAGGGAAATAATCAAATAATAAAAATATTAAACAATAAAATTCTCACGACGTTTCGATTGCAACACAAGAAATCATCATCAGGTGTGAAAATAACAGCAAGAAATTTAGAAAAAAGCGTCGTGAGAATTGTATTATTTTATTTGTATTATTTCCCTTCTACGTGACTTTACCGAAAGAACCAAGAATATGAATCTTGCATACACTTCACGCAATGGTCTTCAAATGTGTGTCCTGGTAACTACAAATTTCACAACACGACCCGCCTATACTGTACAGCATTACTTTGAAGCCAGTATTTGGGCCTCTGGTGTGTAATTAATATTGTATTGTGAGGAACAATGTTGGAAAATATTGCATATTTGAAGTAGAAAGATAACTGTGATGTAAAGATGCATTATCATCTAAAGGTAAGTACACACTCATTATGTTCCCTTTCAAAATATGTATTGCAGATATTAATTTAAATTCAGACTTTAATTAAGTCACGCAAATACAATTCTGCAACTGCACATAAATCAGGATTCAACATCAAAATATTAAATACTTGGCAGGAGTTAAAGATGGACTCTTCCATCTGACCAACTGCCAAATCGCTGTCCGTGGTGCTGACGTTAAAAAAAAACGCCACTTTTTTCAAATTTTCTTGCTGTGGATTTTACACCTGATGATGATTGCTTATGTTGCAGTCGAAACGTCGTGAGAATTTTATAGTTTTATATTAGCATTATTTTAATATTTCCATTCTACGTGACTTTACCAAAAGAACCAATAATATGAATCCCTGCAGTCACGAAAGCTTTAAATCAAGATTCTTGTACCGTTTTGACCTGTCCCTTCTGGAGTATTATTCCACCGTCTGCCCGTGTCATCCCACACATGCTGAACGCCGCGTATGCTGCGTTTCCTTGCCGACCCTGGCGCGCGCCAAGCGTCAAGCGCCTCCTATCTCACACCTTAACTCTGGACCTCATTACCCACCCGCGTCTTTCCACCAGATTACAATTTGGCTTTTTATTTTTTTAAAGTATAATTTCAAAAACACCTAACGCACTGATGTCTACCGATGCTGACGGTGACCTTTCGTCGTAACTTTTTTTAAAATAAAAAGTGAAGTATTTTTGTTTGCCTGAAGGTCATTTAGCACAAGAAATTTATTTTAAGTATCAGAAAAAGCAAAGACCCAACCACCAGATTGCAGAGTACAGATTTCAGTTATAGTTGTTTTGAAGTATTTCCTTTTCAGCCTAGACATGCGCAATAGTTTCTGTGGGATTAATTTCGATTCTGAACTTGGAGGGCATGAGGATCACTTAGGCAGGCTTAAGCAACGCGAGTCATCAAATTAATACGATCACAGAGTTTGGCAGTCGTGATATTTGGAATGGGGTATTCGCCAAGACCCAGAAGTTGAGAAGCAGCACTAATTCTTCATTAACATAAATATTAAAATCGCTACGAAGACGTGGACTGAGGACTGGCTTTCAGGCTGTACGACCATTTGGGGAAAGATGTGTGATATTATCAGAATCTTTATAACAACTGAAGGAATCCGATGAGCTATGAAGCTCTTTTTGGTAGATGTCCAGTAGGGGCAGGTCAGAACATTACAACAACCGATAAAAAAACACGATAGGTGTGCATAGCATAGGAAATGTAAATAAATCACTTAAAAAGATACAAATAATACTTGACAATTTTTTTCATACATGGGAACACGGGCAGGTTCAAGCTATATCATTGTGACTGTTAAGAAAGGTAAGTGGACTTGGACAAGACACACTTCTAGAAGGCATAATGGCCGGTGATGCAAGAACGATGAAGGGGTGACGGTCACGGGAGGGAACGTGCACCGAGAGGCAGTCGAACAACGGAGATGGAGCGCTGAAATTCGCTCGTGTGCAGAAGGTGGGGGGGGGGGGGGGGGACTTCGATGGATTAATACTCAGCAGGACGGTGAGAGATGGCGATGGCTTGGGGAGGGTCATTATCCAGCTGTGGATTGATTACGGTCGATAGCGATGACGACTTAGACACAGACTTAGATTCGTAGATTAAAAGAAACATAATTGAGCGCGTTCAACTGTCAACCTCCCTCCTGCAACAAACAGGGACACAACATAAACGCTCGCTGCTGTTCCATTCGGCTTTGCGGTGACATCGCAATTAAAGATATTAACCTCACTTGACGGGCTGACGTGCCAGCTTGTTGCGACGCGCAGTCCGTGCGAGTCTGGGCTCTTTGCAGAAACAGTGAAAACGCCGACTCTTTCGGCAGATGTTCTATACCCGTCGCCTAATTTCCCAAACACGCGCCTTGTTGAAAACTGCTGCGCTACATTCTTGATTCCTGCTGCAGGCTCAGGCACCGCAGATTAAAATAACGACACTCCCGCGTTGGGGGTCAGCATGCACACTCGGGGATTAAAACACAGTTGCCAAGGGGCCAATTTAATGGTCGAAATCCCCACAGCGAATACGAGAAACCATTTGGCTCAGGCACCCGGTGTCGATTAGCGCACAGCGTGAGTTCACACCTAAATTATTGTAATTTTAAACAAGCTACTGCAACGATTAATTGTTGGAGGGTTTTTGTTCTTTTGCACGAAATTACATTTCACGTGAACTGTGTATACATATACGCAGAGCCCTTTTATGAATCCACTGCTATGAGGACCTCCAGTTATGTGACCATACTTCACCTGGCTGGTGTTGAAGATGAATGACACGCAGACAAATGGTTTGTTATGTCCATTTCTCCAACCCCCCCCCCCCCTACGACCGGGTTGTAATTATGCTATTTAGTAGGCTTGTAATGGTTTATCAATTCGTAAATGAAATCGATTATTATGTTTACAATACACACATTGATCTGCCATCAGAAGAATTCATTATTTACAATGTGTGCCAATTAACGTCAAACATATACGCTCATGGAGTGCTTAAGAAAGCACACATTAGAAATAACAAAACAATACAAATGAGACAGAACAAGTCATCGACTCAACTGAATGGCAAACACACGAGTCAGGAGCGACTCATCGCATGTGTCCCGGTTGCGAGTCAGCAGTACTTTGAAAGCTCATGCTGTTGTACGACTTCACGATTTAAACCAATATTTATATTCTTGGTTCTTTCGGTAAAGTCACGTAGAAGGGAAATAATAAAATTATAAAAATAAAACAATAAAATTCTTACGACGTTTCGATTGCAACACGAGCAATCATTATCAGGTGTGAAAACCACAATAAATATTTGTTAGACTGTAGCCTGGTGTTTAAGATGGTGATCGTATTGGCAGTCTATGATGTAGAGTGTAGCAATGGTTATTAAACTGAGTGAGCGTTCTGGCAGTCTGTAATGTAGACTTTAGCCTGGTTTTAACCTGAATAAAATCAAAACAAAAACCTTGACGTTTCGATCGGAACACAAGCGGTCATCATCAGGAAAAAGGGGGGTTTAGCCTCTAAAGGCAAACTGTTTTGCAACCCTACTGGCCTACTGGCTATCAACAAAGATTCGTTCATGAAGCCATCCATATCTACAGACACAGACACAATTTCAACCGAGAAGATGGTTATAAACTCAGCAATCATTGGAAAGATGTCAACCACTTTGGGTCATGACTTGATTTGTGTTTTCTTGTCAACCTCCACCGTCAGCAGTGTGGGTGTGTGGAGCGAGGTGCAATGATTGCCTGGAGGCCCTTTTAGTGGAAACCCACTAACTGCCGAGTTGTTTCTACATTAACATTAGCTGCCCCGCCCATGCAGCTGACACACTTGGGCTACGCCCATCTCTAAACCTTTATAAACAGTTTGCCTTTAGAGGATAACCCCCCTTTTTCCTGACGACGACCGCTCGTGTTGCGATCGAAACGTCATGGTTGTTGTTTTTATTTGATATTTATTTTATTCAGGTTAGAACCAGGCTACAGTCTACATTATAGACTGCCAGTACGCTCACTACGATTTAGAACCAGGCTACAGTCTACATTAGTTTTTATTATTATTTTTTATTTTATTTTATATTGACTTTCTTTTTTTTTATCTACGCGACTTTACCGAAAGAACCAAATAATATTAATTCCTGCAGTCACGGAAGTTTTAAGTCAAAATTTGGGTGATTTATTTACCTTTCTTGTACTTTGCACTGCTATCATGTTTTGTACTGTTTGTTGTTGTAATGTTCTTACCCGCCCCGACTGGACATGTGTGAAAAATAACTTTATAGCTCATTGGATCCCTGCAGTATAAATGCACATTCTGATTCAGATTTTGCAT